GGAAGGGCTGGCTTAGGGCAGACTCATTTGAGCTTCCTTTGGACTGGGGCATTTTGTGTGAGTGGGTGGGGCATAAAGAGAAAAGGCACCAGTTTGCTGTGAGGCTTGTATGGCCTTTAGCTTTGATGCCAGCAGCAGGGAACTGAGATGCTTGAGCCGATCCTCTGTGATGGCTCCAAGTGCACAACAGCCATTGGGAGTATAAGATCAGAGCTGTGTGTGTCCTCAATGGTCATTTATATGGAACATTTATTATTTATTTATTTCAGGGTTTTGAGACAGAATCTCTGGTAGCCCAGGTGAGTCTCAAACTCACTGTGTTGCAGAGGATGACTTTGAACTCGATCCTTCTGGCCTTCACCTCCAAAATACTGGAATTCTAGGTATGCACCATCAAACCCAGCTCAGAACCCTTCATTTTACAAATCTGGAAATTTGTAGTCAAAGGAACTGGTTGCCAAGATTGCATAATGAAAGAGCAGAAGTTAGGATCCAAGTCTCCAAATTGCTGTTCACAACCCCAGGGCCCATTGTTTTCTTCACTAAAGTTTAGTGAGTGCTTATTATGTGCCAGGCTCTGAGATGCTGGCTCTGAAAATGTTAGCACAAACAAAAAACAAAGTTGCTGTTCTCATGGAGCTTCCATTCCAAGAAAAGAAGAAAAAAAAATATGTGTAAAGGAAGAAAAAAATGAATATTTATGAGAAGGGGAGAGTTAAGTAAGCTAATGATAGCAGCTTTTTTTGTGTGTCTCTTGAGACAGTCTACCTGTAGCCCCAGCTGTCCTGGAACTCACTATGTAGACCAGGCTGGCCTTGAACTCACAGAGATCTGCCTGCCTCTGCCTCCCGAATGCTGGGATTAAAAGCTGGTGTTATCATGCCTGGCAATTTTTTTTCATTTATTTATTTTTATTTTATGTGTATGAATGTTTTGCCTGCATGTATTTTTTTTTAATGTGTATGAATGTATTGCCTGCATTCATGTAAATTTATCATGTCATGCAATCCCACAGAGATCAGAAGAGGGCACTGGATTCCACTGAACTGGAGTTGTGGACGGTTGTTAGCCACCATGTGGGTGCTGAAAATCGAACTTGGGTCCCCTGCAAGAGCAGTCAGTGCTCTTAACCACTGAGCCATCTCTCCAGCCCCTGCCTGCATGTATGTTAAGAGCTTCTGTGTGTGCAATGACTGCAGAGGCTGGAAGAGGGTGTTAGATCCCCTGGAATTAGAGTCATAAATGATTGTTAACTGCCATGTGGTTGCTGGAATCTGAATCTTGGTCCTCTGTAAGAGTAGCCAGTGCTGAGCCATCTCTCCAGTTCCAGCGTTACCAGTAAATATA